CTTAAGGAATTCTGCCATGGTGGACAGAGCTCCTTAGGGTACTTGCAACCTAACAGGAATGATGCCAAAGCTTATAAAGGAAAAGTAATGAATTATGTGGTAAGTATGCTAATTAGGTGATAACATACAACTATGTCATTCACTACTGGAAACCAGGGAGGGGGTTTCCTAAGGGGTATATTTTTGGTCTGTTATATCTGTAACAAGATAGTTTCTGGATCTGATGTCTATAACTTGACCTCTGGATCATATATGATAACTGTGGGTATCAGTACTTGATAGTTCTGCTGGTACAAGATAGTCCTATTCATACAAGGGAAATACTACAGAGGTCAGCTTGTTCTTGTAACAGGGAGAGATAATTTGCCTCACTGAGCCCACTCATGAATTATTGCCAGAGAGAGGGTCCTTGGGCTGGAGGGAAACTGCCAAGGATAGTGTTTCTGAGGCTAGGGAGAAACAAGATCATGGAAGTGGGGTCTAAGTACAAGGACCCAAGCACCCCATCAGTAAGGGAGTCACAAATTCAGATCTCCATCTGAGGAAAATTACTTTGGCAGCAGAGTACCAGAGTGTTGAGAGACTTACTGTAGGAACACCAATTGGAAAACTGTGGCAAATAACCTCGGCAAGAAGTGATGAGGGTTTGAACTAAAAGAGTAAGCTCTCTGGCTTCCTTTAAGTCCCAACTAAAAACTCCACTGTCTTTTTAAAAAAAATTCATTAATTTTTTATTAATTAATCTATTTGGGGGGGTAGGTAGTAGGGTTAAGTGACTTGCCCAGGGTCACACAGTTAGTAAGTGTCAATATCTGAGGCCAAATTTGAACTCAGGTCCTCCTGACTCCAGGGCCAGTGGTCTACCCACTATACCGCCTAGCTGCCCTAAAATTCCACTTTCTACAGGAAGCTTTCCTTGACTCATCTTAATTCCAGTACTTTCCCGCTATTAATTATTTCCTAATTATCCTGTATTTAGCTTGCTTTATATATATTTGTTGGCATGTTGTCTCCCTCTTTAGATTTTAAGCTCCTTGAGGGCAGGGACTATTTTTTGCCTCATTTTTTATCCTTAGTGCTTAGCATAGAACCTGGCACACATAGTAGGCACTTAATAAATGTTTATTGATTAACTGATTGATAGATTTGTGAGTGGAGAGAAGGGATTAGAGATATTGTGAAGCTATGTAATCTAGAAATGGAATGATTAGGCCCGTGATTGGATATGTGGGGCAAGGGAAAGTGAGGAGTCAAGAATAATACTGAAATTACTGACCTGAAACACTGGAAGGTGATAGTGCCTTCCACAGAAATAGAGAAGTTTAGAGAAGGAAAGGGTTTAGGGGGAAAGGTAATGAGTTAAATTTTGGACATATTTAATTTAAGGTGTTTTGGGGTCATTCAGTTTGAAATGGTGATTTGGAAGAGACAAACACTGGATATATAGATCTTGAAGTCATTTGCATAGAGATAATAGTTAAAGATTACTGAGAGAATATAGAAGAAGGAGAAATGAGGGCCCCAAGGGAAAATCTTGGGAAACATTTATAGTTGGGGGGGCATGGTCTGGAGGATGGGCCAGCAAAAGAGACTGAGACAGAGTAATTAAAAAAGTACAAGGTGAACTGTGATAGTAGTGTCTTGAAAACAGAGACAAAAGAGTATACTGGAAGAAAAGGTGGTTACCAATGGGGAGTCATTTGATCTCATGCCCTCCTGTCCTCTTGATATATGTCTTGCTACTGGACCCAGATGGCTTGGGAGGAGAGAGTGAGGCTGGTGACTTTACACAGTCCTCCCTCACTTAAACCCAATTCACTTGCAAGTCATGACATCACTTTCCTGATATCATTGGTCCTCTTTGAGAATGAAGGACAAACAATGAAGGAATGAATGAAGGAATGGTATAGTTAACAGTGTCAAAGGCAGCATATTGGCTGAAAAGGGTTAAGACTGAGAAAGACCATCAAATTCTGTGATTAAAAGGTCACTCAAATTTGGAAAGAGTAGGTTCAGTTAAGTCAGGAAGTTGAGAGCCAGATTGAAAGTCTGGAGTTGAGGAGTAAGAGGAAATGGAGACAGCAAGTGTAGACGACTTTTTCTAGGAGATTGAGAAAGGGAAGAAAGACACCGAATAGCTTGAGGGGATGATAGAATTTAGTTGGTTTTTTAAGGAAGGGGAAATAGGCTTGTTTGAAGGTGATAAGGAAGGAATTTGTTGATTCCTTATTCAGCAACATATCCCAGTATTGTCCAAGGGGTGTTATTGGCAAACATACTAGAATTGTTTGCCATTTCCTTCTCTAGTGGATCAAAGCAAACAGATTAAGCGACTTGCCCAGGGTCACACAGCTAATACATGACTGAGTCCAGATATAAATTCAGGTCTTCCTAATTCTAGTGCTCTATCCACTGAGCCACCTAGCTGACTCCCCTAGGGAGACTGAAAATTTGAGGGGGGAAGGAAGAGATGATTGAGGATGCAATTAGCTGCAGAAAATAGGAGGGCATGAGATCAAATGTACAAGCAGAAGTGGTTGGCCTTGGCAAGGAGGAGAATCACTTCTTTGTCAAAGTCTGGGGAAAGGAGGAGAACGTGGGAGATGCTGTTAAGGGGTTTTGAGACTAAGAGAATGGGAGAGGAGGAAGCTCCTAGCAAAGGGTCTCACTTTTTGCAATTAAGAGTCCCGTTCTTCAGCTAAGAAAGTGCAGGTAGAGGGAGGCTTGGGGAGCAAAGATTAGGAATAGCTTCTGTGTGGAGCGAGATAGGGAATCAATTCTGTGTCAATAAAAGAACTGCCATGTTCAAGCAAGGGCCCAGGTGAAGTTGCGTAACACAAATTTGTAGTATATCCTGTCAGCACAGTTGTGTAACTTCCTTCAGTTCCTTTCAGCATCACATAAGGAGTCAGAACAATCACTCAGCTAGAATTTACTGGAGATGATGGGGTATTCAGGGAGGACAAGCACCTCTGTTTTGAGAGCTTGCCAGAGCCTTTTTAGGGCTGCTCATCCCCTTTTAGTGTCCCCACCTATTACCCAATTCTCACCTATGGCTCTAAGAAACTGTTGAATAAGGAGTGGTCACACCCCGGTTAACTGTCTTGACAGATGGGCTAAACAAAGTTGAGGGTGACTGACAGGCCTCAAACCTGTAGTTGGTGTGTTAGGGTGATGTCCACTCCAAGCATGTGAAAACTTCCCCTGGTGGAATGGGCCAAGGAGAACAATTTGTTCCAACAGCCGTGAAGGAGGCTGAAGCAAGGGCTTAGAGCTTGGTCAGATATGGAAGAAGCCAAGGTCAACCACTGTATCTAGTTGTCCTGATTTTTGTCTTGCCACTGGACTTAGTTTTTTCTGGAAGAGACCAAGACTGATGACTAGGTGCAACTCTGCCTCACATCCAATGCACAAAAAAGTCAAGACATAGACATCACCCATAATGTCACTGGTTCTCTTCTAAAAGGGAGGAGGAATAACAACTGGAGAAAACTGTAGTAAACTGGATTAGGGTGAGCAGGGGATAGAACAATGGAGTGAGGGATTTAAGAATAGAATAGAGTGTGGAAATGAATTGGTTAACTATAGTATTGAGTTTGAGAATGGTGTTGTGAAGTCAGTGCAGGGCCTAGGAAAATACTGAGGGATACAGGGAAAGGAGGCTCAAAGGAGAGCAAAGAATAGCTTGAGGACAAATGTGCCACAGGGAGGGATGGAATGATTAGAGGTTATAGTGAGAGGGAGGAATGTCAGAATTTTTTAACAAAGAAGGCAGGTAGGTAAGAAGGTAGGTAAAACACTTTGCAAACCATAAAACTTTATACAAAGAGAATTACTATAATGCAAGGGTGTCTGTTCTAGTGGTTAGAAGGCTAATCAGGAGACCTGATACAGTCTTGATGTATACATTGTTTTCCTGTTTCTAACAGTCAAAAAAAAAATTTATTAAGTGCCTACTGAGTGCCAAAGCACTGTGCTGGGAATTAAGCACTAGGTATACAAAAAAGAAGCAAAAGACAGTCCCTGCCCTCAAGGTGCTTACAATCTGATGGGGGAGACAATATGCCAACAAACATATACAAAGCAATCTACATAAATTTTAAGTAATTTGAACAGAAAAAGTCCTGGAATTATTAAGTGCCCACTGCCTGCTATGTGCCAGGCACTGTGCTAAGTGCTAGGGATACAAAAAGAGGCAAAAGACAGTCCCTGCCCTCGAAGAGCCTACAATCTGATGGAGGGAAGACATCATGCCAACAAACAGAAAATAAGCTATATACAGGACAAATAGGAAATAAAAGAGGAAAGCCCTGGAATTAAGAGCCCTATTTGACCATAGGCAAGCCACTTAAACTCTAAGCTTCAGTACACTCATCTGTAAAATGGGTATGATAATTACTATATCTCACCCAAGGTGAGGTTTGTTTTGAGGAGCGACTGAAATACTTTAAATACATGGCTTCTGCAAACCGTTATATAGACATAAGCTTATTCTTTATGATTTCTAGATGACCAGTTATAAGTCCTCCTCCTGAATTGCGGCCGAAGAGACCATGGTTACATGGGAAGGATGCATCTCAAGAGAACTGAGGGAAGTGGGACATAAGAGGCAAATGGGGGGGCTGGCTTTGGACAAGACTTGGGGTGCAGGCTCAGCCCAGGACCCGGCGCAGGCGATGACAGAGACGTGAGGTGCGCGGCTGGGGAAATCAAGGCTGCCCAGCAAAGGCCCGGAGGCCTATTAGGCCCCATTTCTGCAGCCGGCCTGAAAAGACCGCACCCCGACAACTCCCAGCGCTCTCACCGAGGAAGCTGCGCCCGCCCCCGCCCGCTAGTCCAGAGCACCACCCCGCGGCCTCCGCGCCCCTCCTCCCCACGCTCCCCACGTTCCATCCCCGCCACCAAACACACAACTCTCGCGAGACGCGGGCGAGCGGGAGAACGCGAGGCAGGGCTCGGAGAGGAAGGGGCGGGGCACGTGACGGGGGCGATTTGCCTCTGCGCTGGAGCTGGGAGAGGGGCGGGCGCCATTGTGCCTGGTGCAGGCACTTTTTCCGCGGGAGGAGGAAGGGTACGGGGAAGCCGGACGCTACGAGGAGGAGACGGAGACTCGCCCAGCGTCGTGCCTGTTGGGGGCCAGAGGGTTATGTGCGTCGGAGGTAAGCCTTTCTTCGAGCACCCGCGGAGGCCGAAAGGAGAAAAGGGCCTGACGGGTGGAGGGCGCAGGGCCGCTGGGAGGAGGGCGGAGAGCCGACCCCCGATTCCAGGAGGGAGCGGGTCCTGCCACTCCAGAGCCTGGGCGGAGGACCCCCTCGGGCGCGGCTTAGGCCAGACTTTGGGTCAGGCCCTTGAGGCTTGGGGGAGGGGAAGCCCCTAAGCGGCCTGGGAGAGTTCGGGCCCCCCCCCCCCGTGTCTGTGGTTGGGTGCTTTAAGGTCGGGTGGAGAGTTGAGGGGATCTTCGATGGAAAGAATGTGTAGTGTAAGCGTAGAGGAAGGAGGCCGAGGCCAAGTCGGATTTCGGGAGCCCTTTAAAAGGCCTCGGGGGGGGGGGTCGTTTGGAGATGGACCCACCCAGGTGGTCCAATTTTGGGTCGTTACTTGTTGATTAAAAATTGGTCAGAACCGAGTAGGTAAGTGCCTGCAGGTTTTTGAATTAAAGCCAATTCTCTGGAACCTTGTTTTGGTGGGGGGGGAGGGTGTGTGTGTGTGTGTGTAAGATTTTTGTGTTTCTCCCCTGTTTTTACTGGCCGAGGTAAATGCTTCTTTGCTTGTGTGGGATTGTTCTGTAAAGTGTAGTGGAGGGAAAATTTATCCCAAGTGAGGCCACTCCTGCCTTTTGCACCATTTTATAGAACGCTGTACTGCTAGGCCTTTAAATATTTCTTTACGATGCTGTTTTATTTTGGCAAAGGATTGCGTAATAAAGATCAAATTTAATGGTTTATGTAATTTTAATTAACAAATAAAAGATGAGTTTTGGCACAGTTTTCTTTTTTTTTTCCTTACGTGATAAACTGGGCATAAATGGAAATTTCCTGGAGTGGGGGCAAAATAAACTGAGGAGAGAATGTTTGGAGTGATTTATTGCAGATTTTACTTGTGTAATAATAACTCACACTTATATAGCATTTTCAGGTTTACAGGAGACTTTCCTCAATCGTTAAAGTAGGTATCGAAAAATACTAATATTATTTTTCCCATTTTACAGATGAGGAAACTGAAGCTGAGATTAAACTTGCTCTTTTTTTAGAGTTCTTTACACTATTCTGCTATGTAAAGTTAAATGTAGTAGATGCTCTTAATGATGAAATTGAGAGCAAAACTTAGTTTTTTTCTTTTTTTGTGTGTGTGAATTCCTTGGGATCTCTCATTTGCTCACTAGACCTCCAGACTATTTGCCCTTATCAGGAATAGAGATGAGCTATCAGAATTTTAGTTGAGATTTGGTAATAGATGAGAAGTAAATGTATAGATTAAGTGAAACAAAATTATCAGAAGCTGTAGACTTTATTTTAGACTAACATTCAAATTCATCTCTCAGTAGCTTTAATAAGTAACTGGTAGTTAAACTGACTGGTAGTTAAATCTATAATCCATTATAATTCATACTGTTAAAGATTATTAGTTTCTCCACAAAGATCATCTTCCAGAAGTAATCAGTACTACAGTGCCATCCTCATTCTTTGTAAAAAATTTCCATTCCATGGTGTCCCTCTCTGTTCTTAAATTTTGGAAATGGTAATAAATCATGATACGACTTGAATGAAAATAACCAAAGTGAGAGACAGCTTTGTTATTTTACAAATTAATCAGACTTTTTAAGGGCTAGTTTAATTTCATTAGTACATAAACCATATTTATGAAAACATTTTTACCTTTCTACACTCGGATGTGGTCAAAGCTGGTTCTGCTTGCTCCCAAATATATTCCTTTGTTGGCTCTACCAGTTATGCTGCATATGCAGAACAACCGGTTTTTAAGTCACTAAGTTGACACCCGTTTTGGCAGCCATTTTGGAAGAGAGCAGGTTTTTGGATTCTACTGAGAAAAACTAGTTTTATTTCCATTACTATTTGAACATATCTATTTAATATTCTCCTTATGTCTCTAAATATAATGTTAAAATATTTGACATTTATATTTGCAAATTAAAACTCACTTTACAAATGAAAACAAGATGTTTGTTAAATTCTTTTTATTAATTTGGAGTTCATTTGACCTCATCATCAAGAACTTCATTAAATGATCTTTAGGAAGTTTTAAATAGTTTATCTCCATGTATTATATCAGCATCATTTAGAACTCAAAGGAACCTTAGATAATAGTCTTATTTTATGGATAAGGAATCAGATCACAGATCATGGCTGGAAGTGACCTTAGACATCATTTAGATCAATCTCATTTTACAGATGAGAGGTAATTTGTCCAAGGTCACACAGGTAGCAGGTCCTTTGACTCCAAATTCAACACTTTAACCAGTTTTCTTAAGGAAAGTTGCCTGCTCAAAGTAATAGTAAGTAGCAGGGTCAGATTTTGAAACCAGTTCTTCTGACTCCAAGTCTAGTTCTGTTTTTCTGCTGATCTTAATCTGTTAGACTGATGGAATTAAATTTTGCTCACAGGTTTTTATTGGTTCTATACTTTAACATTAAATTACTCCCTCTAATCAATCAGGTATTAAGCATATACTATGTTAAGTGTCCAATACTGCTAAACTTTGTGGTTGCAAATACAATGAATATAATCCCTACTACCAAGGAGCTTACATTCTAATGTAGGAGATGAGTATGCCCTTAGTATATAAATGTATACAGAATAAATATAAAGAAAATTATACAAATAAATGCAAAATAGTTCAAAGATGGGGCAGCTAGGTGGTGCAGTGGATAGAGCACCGGCCCTGAAGTCAAGGAGGATCTGAGTTCAAATCGGCCTCAGACCAAACACGTGACACTTACTAGCTATGTGACCTTGGGCAAGTCACTTGACCCCAGTTGCCTAAAACAAAAAAAAAAAAGTAGTTCAAAGATAAGGTTGTTTGAGAGGAATGGCTCTATCACCTGAAAGGGATCGTGCTTCATGTAGAAGATAGGCATTCAGAACTGAAGACACTGGAGTCTGAATAGGAAAATGAGTGACATGGTGAGATCAACCATTAGGAAACACTTAACTCTTTGTATTACTGTGCTAATAAGACACAAACATAGTGCAAATGTAGTTTTAGGAAAATACAAAAAAGTTTTTGAAGGAGAGGCTCAATGTGCTAAATTTTTACCTTTGATTTCCATTTTGTTTTACCCGGCTTTTATTGAGGCCTTAGTCAGATAGATTAGTAGTTATATTCCTAGGTGGATTATATATGAATTCTTTACAGAAGGAGCTGATGATTCATTTACTTAGTATGAAACAAAAATATTTCCTTAGGGAGAGATATAGAAAGAGAAATGGATTTTGGATTGTTACAAAGCTGTCCTTGGGATCTTTGATACTGGATCGCCTCATACATCCACTTTATATAGAGGCAGGAAGGCGTGGGAGAAAAATTTAGGTTCACTTTATCCAAGGTCAGTTTTTTCATCTACAAAATGAGGATAATCTTTACATTACTAATGTTATAGGGTTGTTAGAAGAAAGTGCTTTGTAAATTTTTCATTCTTATATAGCACTTTATTGATGTAAGTAGCTAACAATTTAATTTACATGGCCCTAAAATATCCCAATTTTACTGAATTGGACTGTACAGTACAGTATTTTTTGTTTAGTCAGGTTCTGTTGTAGGCATAGCTTTAATATTAATAGCTAATTTAATATTTAAATGTTAATAGCTGACATTTATGTAACACTTTAAAGTTTGCATAGAACTTTATATATCATTATATTTGATCTTTGTGACAGCTTTGTGAGGTAGATTTTATTATCCCTCTTTTACGATTGAGGAAAATGAGCTGAGAAAAATCACTTGGCCAGAGACTTACTAGACAGTAACTGGGGCAGGATTTGAACTCAGATATTCTTGACTCCGCTTCCAGCTCTTCAGTCTGCTACACCAGGCAGTCTGAAGACTGCCATATACAGTAGATTGGGAAAATACGATCCATTTTCACCTATATGACAGTGTGTGGAGTTAGGTCATAAGATCATGGTTTTGCTATGTAGGCTAACTATATGACATGGCTTATACTTTTTTATTCTATTTAGTCTTTACTAGAGTTGTATTTAATTAGTTTCACTTCCTTCTTTGGCCAAAGTGGTACAATAAAAAGTAGCACAGTGCTCTGCAAAGGGAATTATTCTAGATAGAAATTGTAGATTTTTGACTATACTTTGTTAATGAACTATGTTGTTAATTTTTTTCCCCTGAAACTGCGTTAAAAACTGTTTCTTGTTTATTGATGATAAAATGGTATAAGCATTGAGGAAATTGTTTTGAGAATTCCTGTTAAGCTGTTTACATTATTAAATTGTACAATTTAATTAACATATGCTCAGGACTGTAAAAACATAAGACTTGGCCTAATGAAAATTAGATGACAGTCCTCAAATAATACTCGTACTTTTGATTTTTTTTTTTTTAAGGGAGTCTGTCTTGGGATTCTTACCTTTAGTAGTTACAGAAAAATAAACACATTTTTATTGTATATAGGGAGCTAGAAGTATCTAGGGAATAGGAGCTAACTGTAAACATGGGTGGGGCCATTGCCATGTTGGTAGTTCGGTTATCTAGTTTATGACTGTTGCGTAAGTCTTGACGTACAGACTGTACATCAGAACAGAACATCCATAGATAACATCCCAGTCACTCTGAACAGGAAGGGGCATTAGAGGTCATTCAGAAGTTACTGTACTTAACTTTTTCCTCTTCTTTTTGTGGTAATAGGAGAGGGGAACATGCATTTATATAATGCTTATTATGTGTCAAATTTTGTGCTAAGAGCTTTACAGATATCTCATTTGATCCTCACAACAGCCTTGAGAGGTAGGTGCTATTATTATCCTCACTTTACAGTTGAGAAATCTGAGGCAGACAGGTTAAATGACTTGCTCAGAGTCATACACCTAGTGTCTAAGGTCAGATTTTAACTAGGGTCTTCCTAACTCCTCTCCCAATACTCTATCCACTGCCCCACTTTGTTACCAATAAAGGAGCAAGATCCCTGGG